CGCGCCGCCATTGGTCAGCTGGTTGCCGAGGCGCCTGCGGCAAGGGAGTTAACCCCGCAGCTGCTGGGTCACTAGTCAGCACATTAGAGAATTAACCTCCTCCCCTCCCCCCCGCCACAATGTACCTTCTGTCCAGGAAGGAGAGATACAAAGTTCGCATTTGGGAGGAACAATTAAAAAGCTAAAATGCAATATTCAAATCTCACATGCCATCTGTCAGCCTGCGCGGGGAGGCAGTCCCGGCGCGCGGGGCTGCTGCCAGGGCTGCGAGTCCAGGCGAGCAAGTTGAAACACGGGCCTGCAAGGGAGATGTTATCAAAGGAGACAGACGGCCGAATAAATAAGGACCATGGACAGGCCCAGAGCAGGGACACAGGAGAGGCATTTATTACAAGAGCTGGCTCCAAACCCAGCACATCTTTCTCCAGGCATTGCTCTGCCCGGCCCTCATTGTGCTTTCTCCCCATTTCTTCTTGAAGAGGGAAAACAAAGTCATGCTCCATCTACTGGAGGACCGAAAAAAAAAAGCATTTCCTTTGGCTCCCTGCCCTGGAGAAACACCAGGAAAGCCATCTTGGCCCCCTCTACAACACGGAGCCCTGACGTGAGAGTCACGCGCTTACCCAGAGTGCGAAAAGCGCCGCTGTCTTAAGACCTCACTAAACAATCCCAGGCCAGGCGTACATAGGCAAGTGGTAACGGTTGTAGTTCAGATAACTGAGGATGCTTTCCTCCACCAGCTTCTTGTAGATGCTTTGCTGAAAAAACCTTTTCAGGTACTTCTTCGGCTTCTCGGAAAGGTGAAGTTCCCCATCCACTATCTTGCAAGCTAGCTGTTCCAGCGAAGGAAGGCCATCCCCCTATACGACAGAGAGAGAAAGGGCCTTGAAGATAAACATCTCGATAAAACCATGGTCAGCGGATACAGCCACCGGAGCTTGCAGGCAGGCCAAAAGCTGTCATTAGGCAGAGGGCACACAAGCATTTAAAAAGAGCAGCCAAGAATTTGGCTTATTTAGCAAATGCACAAGTGGCTTATTAAGGATGGGAAAACATATTCAAAACACTGAGCATGTAGTTGGGACATAGAAGCAGAGCCTTATAAATAAATAAATGTCAAAAGGGGCATAGGTAGGCATGACGCACAGGTATCCTTTATTGGCGAGAGAAACAAATACCGGTAAACATAACATAACTGAATTTTTTGTATAGCTGGACACCTCTCCATCAGCAAGAGCCTTCAAACCTCAGGCACCAGATAAATTAGAGTTTGCTGCTTTGGAAATATTAGGTCTTTAGCTTGAGGCAGGCAGCTAAGCCCTTCTTTCACCCTTTCATTCTCCCCACAGGCTGGCCAGCCAAAGCCCTGGCAACAAATAGAAAGGCAGCTGGTTGCTACATTCCTTGGAAGGCTGCAAGGGCTTGGTGGCAATGGCTATCAGGAAGGCAGCGGAAGGATTATCACACAGGGCAGTGGTGACGCTGTCCTTATGCCTTACATGGCACTTTCATTATAAAATTGCAATTTCAAATCTGAATAATTTGTTTAAAAAGGATCTTTCAAACCAAAGAGTTCTCAGCTATTTACAGTTGAAAAAACAAATGGAGGTGTGTGGCTGTGTGGACATGTGCGTACATGTAGAGACTGAAATAGATGTGTGCATATGAGATCTGACGAACGTCTTCATGTGCAAAAAACACTCAATTTAAATCTAATTTCCAGATATGTTTCTGGATTTCTCAAATTTGTAAGCAACTTAGCACTGCTTTTCAGAGCAATACTAGCTGCCATCTGAAAATCAGACCAGTAGGTCTTTTTGAGGACAAGTGCTTTTTCCTGAAAATCTTTTCCTGTGCATGTCTGCTATATGATTTTCTACTAATACTTTAACAGCTGATGGAGGTGCAAAAACCCAGCTCTACCATCTGCCTGTTTGCATAGCTGGAGCTCTGCATGTTGAAATAAACACATGCTTGTGATCCTACAAAATGGGTAAACATTCAAAGCTTGATCAATCAGTTTTTGAAGACAAACAAGAACATCCTGTGCAAGAGGCACATAAAATAAATACAGTGTTAGCGTTGAGAATTTAACCACATGAAGTTACAGTCCTCACTATCACTCTAACTGGGTTTTCTGTGTACATATCAGTTTGTATACCAAGTGTCTCCTTAAACGTTGTGCCTTAATAGTCGTAGCTAAGTTCCAGTTTCTATGAACGCCATTACTTGAAATTTCTGATTTTCTGTACATTTACATTCTCAACTAAAATAATCCTCCTTAAAACACTTCTGTGCATTATTTGAATTTTTTCATTTAATTGCTCATTTATTTTCATGATCATTTCTATGACTTTATCAACTGGAACGTGAGCCCAAACTGGAAAAGGCCAGCTCTTAGCTTTCACTCATTTTTTGAGTACAGCGAAATAATAGAGCAGTTCTCCGGAGACCCTCTGGGCAGAATTCTATTTTCCTCGGTGGATGACCAAAGTGCAGCTTGCGACCTACTCTTGAGTTACCTGATTAAAGTGTGGATCGATTCTCTTACCCTCTTTGGGCATAGGAGTTCCCCCTTTACAAGAGCAGGACCACACCCTCTGGACATATATGTGCCCCCCTTATAGGAAGAGGAGCTCCCTCTGGAGATCCACTGACGGCTCTCTATTCCTATAATGGGGCACACTTACATGCTGAGAAGGAGTAACCAAATTTTAGCTGGGTAACTCAGAATTGGTCACAAGCGGCACTTTAGTTGTCCACTAGGTGACACACAATTCTGCCCTTTCATTCTAAACCAAAGGTGCAGCATATATTTATTACACACTTAACAGCATGCTCAGTCGATGCTGTATAAACATATGGAAAGGACACATATTTACAACATGCCCTGTGTGTAAGAATCCATTAAACTGAATCAAAATTATGATACACAAAGAGAATGATCAATTTGTGTTCAGATACAGGACCAAGTCCTGCGACCCTGCCCTGATTCAAGGTGGCGGCTGATGATTTTAACAGGATTCTTTTTGTGTGCCAGGGCTTCTCACATGAGAAAAGGTTGCACAGTTGAGTCCATAATCTTGAGGTCTCTAGCACACCATTTCTATTCTCTCCCAAAACTATCTACCACCTTATTGATTCTGGTATCCCCTATGGACTGTAGTGATGTTACTTAAATAGAGAGTAGGCAATTCTGTATGGCACATGAAGAAAGCCCATACAAAGTACTGCAGCCAAACGGAATTTAAAATATGTAAAATGGAAGCAAAAAGGTGTGAGGGAGTGGGATAGAATAGCACCAAACAATCCAGGGGACCAGTACTTCTCAACCAGGGTACCATGGCACCCTGGGGTACCATAAGATTATTTTAAAGGTACCATGTAATATTAGGTCTTAGGTGTGCAAACACCTACACAATTCACATGATAAACCCAGAGATTTCAAATAAGAATCCATGGTGTCAAAACATTCTGACCTGTTGTGGTCCTTTTGAGCTCTCTGCAACAGGAGAACTGCTGTTATTTCTCTGTACTCAAACAACAAGTGAAAGCTAAGAGCTGGCCTTTTCCAAGGGGTACCTTGAGTCTACAAAAAGGTTGAGAACCACTACATTCACTATCCAGGAGAAAACTTCAGACCAAAGAAAAAACTTATGCTTGGAGACAAGAATGTGCTTAATTTTTTTGCATTTGGGGGCTATTCAGTATGTCAAGTGAGGTCAACGGGAGTCATCCTATTGACTTCAGCGAGTTTTGGATCACGTTGTGAGAAATAAAAATCAACAGATTACTGTATATTTATATTCAGGCCAATACTGCAAATTCTGAAGATGCAAATTACATTAGCGATATCTTAAATTTCCCACCTAGTTCCATAGGTGGAAAAATTCATTTATCATTCAAAAAGCCAGTTGAAGTTATTTTATCAGGTAAAGTTTTATATCTTAAAGGATCACAGATTCTAGGATGTACAATGATTTATATAAGTCAATAAAAAAATCAACTATATTTAAAAAAATGATACTAACTAAAGGAATAGTGACTCCAAGTCTGAGTGGCAAGTTTGTAATGAGTTGTTTGACTGGTACAAAAGTACTGTAGAGAAAAGAGCAAGCAACTTACATTATGACAAACTCTACCAGAGGCTTTGAAATTTGTAAAGATAATTAAGCAGCACATTAACACCACTTTATAATGCAGAGGTTCTTTGTCTGTTTAGATTTTCCAAAGAAAATTGTTAGACAGAGAAACTTAAGGAAGAAGACAGGGGAGCAGAAACCTAAGTGATCAGCAACAACAAATTAGTGGAATAATAAAATGCACTTGCTAGTCATTTTTCTTACCTGCTTGGATGTTAGGATTTGGCGCAGTTCTTTCTTAAGATCAATAAACCGATCGTGATAGATGGCCAGGGACCAAGACTCGCTGAAGTAGCTGGTTAAAAAAGAAGAAATTTAGTTATCCTGTGAACCTCTCATTAACCACTAATAAAGTATTTACCTGCTTTTTTGCTTTTATAAATTACAGTTCTGGACCCATCATGATCGTTTGTTCATAAAATGCCTCCCGTAACAGCATGGTCAATCAATTCTTTTAATGGATGTTCCTGATGTACAGCCAGCTTCAGTAATTACATTTAAAGTGGCTTAATTCAGAGCTGTGGCAAGACCCAGTGAAGAATCCTGATTTTATCAGAATTTAAAAGCCTGAAGACCTGTAAAGAACGGTGTCTGCATTATCTGTCCTCATTTGAGAAAAGCAGATTGCAGGATTAACTGAACTGCTGCATAAACAAATTAAATTTGTGTAGACAATGACACAAATGTTGTTCATCATTAAGGTTTCTGGATTAATAAAGGGTAGAAAAACAGGCCACCACAGTGTTGCAATATGTTCTTTGCACTACAGCACTGAAGCTAAATTGAATCTCTTTGATGAGGAAGCTCTCTTAACTTTAATATTAATGTCACTGACCAAAAGCATTAATTAAAACATCTTTTCTGCAAAAACTTAGAAAAATGTGGATAGCTATTTCCTCCAAGCAAAGAGCAGCGTGTATCCCTAGATACTGCAAATGTCAGTAGAGGCAACTGGATCACAAAGAGGCTGGTAATTTCTATTTCCTACATGGTGAAAAATAATTTTCCTGGTGTCCATAATGTACCAATTAAACAGTGTGTACTCTCCACGGTCATTCTCGGTAACACAAACATAGAATGTACTGAAAAGACAATAGGACCAAAAGACCCAGCCAGTGTAACATATACAACTCCCTATCAGATAAACAGAGCCTGATCCTGCAAACAGTAATGCAAAGGTGCAACACATGTCAGCAGTCCCACTCAAATCAATGCAACTAAGAATGGGAGTCATGTAAAGTGCATGCAGGATCAGGGCCAAGTTCTTCCACATGAGCCTTGCCGTCTGTTCCCATCAGTGGGAGTATTCATATGAGCAAAGACAACTCAACACCTAACTGTAAAAGGATTTGGGTCAATGACCTTTAACTACATTCCTAGGTAATAACACTAAAATGGAGAGCCGCAAATAATTTTAATAATAATTTCCATATTTCTTTTGAATAGAAAACTTTTAATAAATGTCAAATGGTGCTGTTTTCTCTTTCTGAGCTTCTTTTCTCTAAGAACGCCGCTGAACTTCAAACTGTAATAATGGGTCACAGTTCAATCAATTAGCTCCACCAGAAACAGTTAACAGAGCTGTGCCAATTCTTCCCCATATTCATGTACCTGCCACTGTCCTTGCATCTGTCTCTTCTTTTGGGTGGTAAACCCCTCTGCAACAGGGGCTGTCTCTGGTCTGCATTTGTGCACCACCCAGCACAGTGGGGCTCCAACTGCAGCTGGGGCCTTTGGATTTTTCCATGAGATAAATGTTTACTGCCACCACTATTTATGCTTTGTACTTGATATGGTATACTCATCTCAGCCTTTCTGTTTGGATAGCGAAAGAAACATCTAACTGGACAGTGTCAGCATGTTACCGACAGTGACTTCCCCTTGTTCTTTGGCTGGGAAATCTAACAACAGATGAGCTCAGTGCTAAGAACCATTTTTAACAATGCCCTTTATCTTTAATAACATTTTGTATACCTGTCAAATACATACAGAAAGAGCCAGACATGTTACCAAAATATTTGAACTAATTTCATAAAAAAACATTCACTTAATGACACCAGTAAATGATGCAGGGAAGAAGCAGCACGTGGGTCACCAAAAAAGCCCCATATTTGCTGGCGAACTCTGCCAAGATCTGTATCTGTATGGACAAATACATTTCTTAAATTTTACATCTGGTATCTGAATTTGCAACTGCTATTGGTAACTTATTTTTTAACCTCAGGATCATTTGAGGGAAAAATGTGTTAGAGCAGGGGTGCTCACCCTCTGTGGTCCATGGGTCAGCCAGCCTGTAGGGCTCCCCATGGGTCTGAAAAATTGGAAGCAGAGGAACAGTGGCAGCATTAATTGCCGCTCACCAGCTGCCAAATGTCCAGACCCGTGGAAAGCCCTGCAGGCAGATAGCATGTGGCCCTGCGCTCTGAATCAGGCATGTGAGGCCAAGGTGGTGCAGGGCCTGATCTGGGTGGTGCAAGGCGGGATCTGGGTGCCTGAGGCCTGATTTGGGTGGTAGGAGGCCAAATTCAGGCATGCAGAGCCCAACCCCGCCCAGGATCTAGCCCATGGATCAGCTTTGCACCACTCATCCAGCCCATGGGGCCGAGAGGATTAGAATGATACAAGCACCGATCTGGGATCTAGGCACTCCCATGTTTCAATTTTGACCCGATGCTGATTTTCTGAACAAGGAAAATCTTGTAACTGTCTTGCCACAGGTAAACTATTTACCTGTCTTCTTGAGGGGCTGTGAGGATGAAATGATGCTTATAAAATGTTTTAAGAATGCTGAATATTATTGTTTTATTACTAGTTCAATTGATAACCACATCTTTTGGATAATTGTACCACTGATCTCATCATTCCCAGACTTGAGAGTTTAAGGCCTGACATTTTCCACCTACATACAGTATATGGCTTAAATACAAGTGCTTTTTGCCTGGAAGCAGACAATTTCTTGTTTACACTTTCAGACTGGCTGGGGACAGGATTTACCTTTAAGTAGCCACTGAATACAAGATTCCCTTTGTTCCACCTCAAACAGGGAACTGTAACGACCACAGATTGTTTTAACGTAGAATCAGTTCTCTCCCCACACTGAGAGCCCTTTTTTTTCATTGAGAGAGAAATAATCTTTCTAATAACCACATTTAGACTCTCTCAAGAAGTGATGCATATTTCATTAAACAGAAGTTTAATAATGAAAAAAATACACTTGAAGACAAACCAACAAGTTGACTTTCTGAGGTTCATTCTAAATTTTATTACCACTTTAACAGTAGTCCCTAAGGGCAAGCTGTGGAAGGCTTGAAAGTATAATGCTCTTCAGTGTGCAAGATGAAGCTGGCATGCTACCAACAGAGGCTCAGAGGCTCCTCAACTATCATGAGAACAGCATCTGCCACATGTGTTTGCACCATTTAGTCTTTCATAACCTGCCAAACTGATCAAGCTAAATATGTACAAGATGACAATGTTTGCCAAAGGCATAACGGGTTTTAAAACTTGGTCACTTCCTAACGGGGACCCCCTGCTGGTCAACTTTTATATCTCCAGAAGCTATCATTGGAAGGCATTTGAAACTAGATGGGGTGAAATGGTCTCCTTTTGAACACAATAAGTGACATCCTTTTTGTTGCTAGGAAGCTGTTCTCTCTTTTCATTGACAAACAACATTTAAAGTCTGTTCAGCCTCACTTGTGTAGCCTATGAAGAAAAAAAAGAAGGAAAAATATCCAGTGTCATCCTACACAAAAGGTGCGGAATCTTTTTCATTTAAAGAGACACAACATGACAATGGACAGATAAAGTTGGCTCACCCTGGAAAATAAAACTGTATTACCTCTGCAGTATTCACATAGATGGACTGAAATCCAAAAGCCATCTATTTTTATTCTCCAGGCTTTTATTTAATTTGCTACTACACAGCACTTTCAGAGAACAATGTTTTTCTGTGTGAAGGCTAATTATGAAGCTGCAGTAGTTCTCTGATGCTTATTGGTGCTCCTAGGAAAAAGCAATTGAGGGCATGCCACTGACCCTTATCAACACTTGCCACCACTTAAGTCATTTACACAAAGACATCAGATTTTTCCTTGACTATACACATTTTAAAAACTAAAGATTCTGAAAGGTGTTAGCTACTTTTATCCCAAGAATGCCAAGCTCAGAATCCAGGAAACAATGCCTGAAGAATTTATCACATACAGAAAAGTCCTTTGACACATGAGTAATTGGAAGAGGTAGCACATGGTGAAGAAGCAAATAAATCTATAGATTTCTCGAGACAGTCCATATTCTGCCAGGCAAAGATTTTTATGATTTTGGTAACAGTTCTATCTCACTGCCACATATTCCAAACTTCTGAAACCTGAACTCCCAATTCAGGAAAATGAAACTAATCCTACTCCCATCTAAAAATCCAAGCAATTTTCCTTGTGTCTTTAGATCCCTTAAATCTGTTCTCATTCTGTCCAACTTATGGGAACGATCACTTTTCCGAGTAGAAGCCCAAGGCTGTCAATGCTTGATCTATGGAGTGGGTGTACCTTGATATAAACAAGTAGGTCAGAGTCTTCCCACTGGTGCTATTGGAGAAATAAAATGATGAAGATGACAAATGTTTGAATGTGCCATCACTCTGATATACTGATATAAACTTGTGCTGGCACAAACAACATAGCCCAGGATTGAACACATGTGACCAGTATTAATGTAGATTGGCCAGCATTTACAGGCTCAGATTTCAATTTGCGATTTTTCAAGAGAAAAAAGCTGAAAAGGCCCATGGAAACAGCAAATTAACTTGAAAGTATTAAAGGGGAAATCTGATTGTGTCCAGTCAGTCATTTGCCTGACTTTGTTGACAGAGAGATTTCAACAAATCATGCCTCATATTTTTACTGTAGCCACCTCTCCCAGTATTTGCTATTACTGCAATGGGTCTTACAGCAAGGAACACAGTAGGAGCTGTTTCATGACTTTTGCTTGGGAATTTTTTTGCGAGTTTTGTCAAGAAATTATTTACAACTTGTACTATGTACAGATTTTAACAAAAATTTAGGTATGGGCTAGGTGTCCAGTGGCATAACAGGGCAGGTTCGCAGCCTGGGCAGCAGCAATGCATGGGACAGCACTGGCCACTGTAGTGCTGATGGTGGTTATTTTCGCAACCCCCCTCCAAAGGTGGTACTCATGGCTGTTGCACCAGTCCCCCCCATCAGTGATGCTACTGTAGATTCACTGGCACCTCACTGAAGAACAGAAGTACTCCGAGAGGCAGGTTAGGTGGTGGAG